CGGTACTTTAGATATCAGTGTGAAAGCTTAAAATTGGTTAATTATGCAAATTAGGTAATTAATATGTACAGATTTTAACCCACAATTATTCAGGTCTGTCTATTGTCCTACAGCATCCATGTACATTCATTGATATGTGATGTATAGTACCTGAGATATCAGTGTGAAAGTTGGTTAATTATGCAAATTAGGTGATTAATATGCACAAATATTTACCGGAAACTAATTGGGTCTGCATAATTCTAGATTCATTGAAATGTGATGATTAGTACTTTAGATATCAGTAGAAAAGCTGAAAATTAATTATGCAAATTAGGTAATTAATATGCACAATTATTTACCCTAAAACTAATTAGGTAATTAATATGTACTGATATTACCATAAAAACTATCAGGTCTGTGCAGTGTCGTATGACATCTATGTACCAAGTTTCATTGAAATGTGATGATTAGTACTTGAGATATCAGTGGAAAAACCGAAAATTGACTAATCATTAGGCAAATTAAGTAATTAGTATCCACGGATTATTACCAAAAACTAATCAAAATCTAGCATTAGTTCAGAGCATCTATGTACCAAGTTTCATCAAAATCCAATGAGTGGTTCTTTAGATATCAGTGGAACAGTCATAGAACAGCTAAAAATTAGCTAATTATCATGCAAATTAGGTAATTAACGAGCATGGATTTTTACCAAAACCTAATCAAATCTGCGCATTGGCCCAGAGCATCTATGCACCAAGTTTCATCAAAAACTGATGTATGGTTCTTGAGATAGCAGTGGAACAGTCGGACACACATACACACACACACACATACACACACACACACATACACACATACACACATACACACACACATACAGACACACTAACTGCAAAGACTCCCATTTTGTGCTTCGCACATGGGAGTCAAAAACATAATCATGTTTTTATTTTCCCGAAAACGGGCGAAAATGTGGCAGTCACAGGATAAGTATTAGTCAGCCATTTTTGATCTAATTGTAAAACAAATTGTCATGAACGGGGACTAAAAAGTGAGTGACTGAAGTCACAATGTATCAAATTTAAATATTCTGTAAATATTCTGTTAAATATTCTGAAGAACCCGGATGTTGGTAGAGAGCTAGTACACACGTGTGTGAGCTGACCTCCGCAACCAGCACTATTTTCAACGATAATTTCTACAGCAATCGGTTCGCCTAGACTACCTATTACAAACACGTGTAAATAGGTTTACCAAGCCGTTTTTTTTGGGTGTATTTATGGAACGTTTAGAACGGAAAAGACGCAGAATGCAGTCATCAACCAGCTCCACGTGTAGTTCTGAAGCGATGGACATGACGGCCAAGGAATGTTCAGGTACTGTTGTACAAAACAATGCTTCGCAACAACTTTTGATTGAT